GTTTTAAAAAAGTGGGACCTACCAGTAGCAACCTCCAACCATACAGAAAAATTGGGGGGGGGAGGGGAGGGGGTGGGGTGGGGGGGGGGGTGGGGGGGGGGAGAAAAAAATAAGAAAACCTACCAACTTGTGCTCTCTTGTGCAAGTACAGAGATTAAGTTTAACATAGTTTTAACAAAACTTTTTACAGCACTTGCAACACAAAAAGGTCGAATAAGTGCTGAAGATTTGAAATGTTACTAGATCTAGAGAGTAACTCAACAAAGAAAAAAAAAGGAGAGAGAAAGATGTTTTAGTTTTAGTAGAGGTTTTACGGCGCTCGCAACTGCATAAGGTCATATGAGCGCCAGAAGATCAGAGGCGTTACAAGAGAGTAACAAAAATAAAAAGGAAGAAGGAGAGTTAAGAACGATAGATGTTTGATAAGAAAGAAGAAGCAAACCACACCAAAGCACCCGCCAACCACCCACAGAGAAAGATGACAGATGTGTGACATAATGAAAGAAGGAGCATACACACCAGACTGAGAATGGCGTCTTTTGTGTAGTGGTTAGGCGCTTTGCTATCATATGCAGGAGACCCCTATTCAATTCTCAGGCTTTCTGCTGGGATGTTGTATTAATCCCTCTCGGCAAAGGTAGGCCCTGCCAGGCATGGTCACAAGCCTTTTTCCTTGATCCAAAAAGGATCTAAAGAGTGTCAATGGGGGAGTACAAATATCTATTAAAAAAAAACCCCAATATAATCTCACCCCCTCCACCAGAGCACCCTCCAACCACCCAAGAGACAAGAGTACAGAGAAGAACATCACCAGATGCTGGTCATTTACAGAGGGGGAAAAGCAAAAAAAGGCAGACACAACAGAACCCCCCCAAAAAAAACAAAAAACAAAAAACCCCCAAAAAACCAAAACAACCCCCCCTTAAAAAAAACAACCCAAGACTTATTAATTGCCCATTGTAAAAACTGCAGATCTGTGTCATTTTACTCATTTAGGATTACCAGACAGAAATTATAATCTCAGGAACCTGAGAGAAAGACTTGCTCAAAACTGATGACTACAAAAGATTATTAATATTATTTATCTATGCTCTCGTTGACGCAATTGAGCAGGTGCACTGATTTGACTTTGCATTATATATCCAGACTGATAGGGGAAACATAATCCCGTGACAAAAAAAGAAAAAAAACCCCAATCAAACTGCTCCCCCAGGACAGAATAAAAGTCGCATTCTCTTTCAGCAATGGCCAAGAGCTAAACCATTACGTCAAAGAAGCTGATGACGCTGACACTGACGAACAGAAACATGAGACAGACTTGTCCATGTTGCCAAGAACAAAAAGGATGCCTTTGTTGGTTTATCATGTCAAAAGTTCACAGAAACACCTCGTCAAAACAACAAAGTTCAGAAAAAAGCCTCGGTGCATCATCGAGAACCATTATTCGCAGATCCGGGTGAAAAGGTCAGTCACTCTTTTATTTGACTTTTTAATATTCTTTCCTTCCCTTTACGTATGGAGGGAAAAAGTGCAGCTGACAGGTCAAGATTACTTTCTTTTCATTTCCATATACAGGAAAAGTAACAATTATTCCAAGGTTCACTGTAACTTTCCATCTTTCCATCAAAATAAGTTTTCCTCTTCTTAAGTTTGATGTTTTACGTAAGAGAGAGAGGCGAGGGGGAATGAGAGAGAGACAGGAAAACATAGAGAATGAGATGGAGGGAGTGGGGAGTGAAAGGGGGGGGAGGGAGAGAGAGAGAGAGAGAGAGAGAGAGAGAGAGAGAGAAACAAGGACTGAGCCCCTCCCCAAGGAAAAGCATTACACTGCTCTCAACATTACCAAAGGTCAAAATGACAGCAGTCACACATCGCCACAATCCAACCAGGACAATAAAACAAGTTTTAGTTAGAGTTTTACCGCACTTGCAACACAATAAGGTCATATAAGTGCCGAAGATTAGAAGTGTTACAAGCGAGTCACAAACACAAAATAGAAGGAGGGGAGATAGAGATGATAAATTTTTTATAGGAAAGGAGGAGCAAACCACACCAGAGCACCTGCAAATAAATCAAGACACTGGAAAGAAAAGTAGAAGGGCCAAATCACAACAGAACACCAACAAACCATCCCCTGACACACAGGACTTGGAAAAAGGATTCAAAAAGTAAAGTCACTGGATTTCCTAAAGTGAAAGACACACAGATTGGCAGACATCCACAGGACCAACGACACAGTTGTCAGATCTGAATATAGTTCTAGATTCACTTCAATTTTTTTTTATAACCCCCCATTCCCAAAGAAAACCATAAAACAAACAAAACAACTCCCCCCACCAAAACAAAAGACGCCTCAAGATAAAAATGTCATACAATACAGATCTAAAATGATCTACTTGATTCAGAGACATTTCCAGGAGAATTCACGGGGTAATCAGTAAAAAACAACAACCCTAAAACAGACTCACATTTATCGCATACGCATGTTAAGTGGATTTACTACATTTAATCAAACAGAATTTCTGAAAAGTGATCATTTGAGCCAAAATCCTTCACCTAATGGTAACAGTAAATTTCGACTGCCCATTCTTCTTTTAAAAAAAGTTTTAAAGGGTCTATCATTCACGACGTCATGGTGACCTAGTTGTGGTTCCACCGAGTGTACAGCCCCTACAAGTATGTGCTGGGTCTAGTAAGTTTCAAATGAAGGGCTCAAGTTTACTTTAACCGATCCAATATGACAGGCAACTCTTGAGAATTTGTACACAGGAAGGGGTACGCATAATCACACATAAGACACATTTCGTAACCTGACTTTTTGTTTGATTAGAAGATAAATGCAATAACACAGTAACGCTTGCATAATGCTGAGGATATGACTGTGGGAGGGAAACCACACAGGAGACTGCTGGGACAAAGCAAGACAGACAGGCAGGCAGACAGAGACCAAAGATATATTACTGAAAAGTAGGACCTGCTACCACCACCCTACAATTATCTGCAGAAATATGTCCTAAAGGTGTTAGAAAGGTTCTTAGTTTTAGTAAGAGTTTTATGGAATTTGCAACACAATTGGTTCATACGACTGCTAAAGACTAAAGGTTTTACTAGAGGAGGACATACAAAAATCAAGGACGAGGAGTGACATACAAATCTAGGGGGAGGGGAGATAAGGACGATTGAGGTTTAACTGGAAAGAAGGAGCAGACCAAATCAGAGCTCCCGCCAACCACGTATTTCAGAAAGGTGAGCATCTCCAACTCAACGAGGAAATAAAAACCATCCTACATCAAGGGTTTACAGTCCGGTGTAGACTTTTCCCAAAGTCGTCAACTTCATCTTTTCAGAACGTAAATTAAACTCACTCAGCAGGCAGTCCGCCGGTATAGACTTTTCCCTAAGTGGTTAGCTTCACCTTTTCGGAACGTAAATTCAACACTTTCAGGAGGTTGTACTCGTTCTTTCTTCATACAAGCCTGCTCTACATGAACCTGCTCTAACGGCCACCTGTCCAAGTCAATCACTTGTTCAAACAACCACTTCCCACTTCTCCCCCTACATTTTTTTGCCGACATGACAATGACACTGTTTAAGCGGTCAACCTGTCTAAGACAACCGCTTTTCTCCTCGACAAATGGTAGAGCCGTCTATAAAATATTTTCGACTCTTCTATCACATACAACTCAATGTAGTTCACCATGCATCACAGACTAAACCATCACATCACTCCCTAGAATGTCTACGAGGCTCAACTGTGCCTACAGAGCCGTCAACACAACAAATCTTGTTCCTTATACATTGGGCAAATGTACAGAAACCAGGAGAGTTTCATAAAACCTGATTTCTCATGCAAACATATTGAACAAATAAACAACAACAAAAATAACAGACCATATGAGAAATATTCTACATCATAAAAAAAAAAAATTGCAAATCTTAAACCAAAATAAAGTAGGGAAAACATTATTTACAAGTACTGTTAAAGCAAGAAGTCATTCTTTCAAAATACACATCTTAGCAAATGGAATTGCTGGCTGATTACATAAGAAATATTTCTTGACTCCACAAATAAATTATTATCAAATTTGCACCATGGTGTTTGCGAGTATCATTTCATTGGGCGAGAGAGAGCCACTGAGGAGAGGAAAAAACACTGGTCAAGATATCACAGGATGTTCCTTGCGTCATCAAAACTCTTATTATGGTCAAGCAAAACAAACAGAACATTATCTCATCATGACGAAACAGGTGGGAGATTTAACCCTATCCGTACGCCCTGGGGTCATTTTGTACCCCCGGGAATATATTCTTCTCATTTTAGAATACTTCTAGTACAATGATCTCTTTGAAACTTCCAGTATTTCTCAAAAAATCATTTTGACAGACTACTATGCAAAGCGTACGGATCGGATTAACGAGTAAATTTCCTCTTTCGAAAGTGGTGGCACAGAATTCCCCACATAGTATCGATACGATAGTATAACACGACGTACAGATAGGGTTACACACCAACTAACTGACTGCACCTGAGCAGCATCCATTTATAAGGAAAGGTTGCTGGAGGCATAACGTAACACAGACAAAGCATGGTGAAGGATTTATGAACAACAGTTTTCCGATGAGTCGGCACCAGAGAGTGGGGGTCTAAGCGAGTCCTTGAGCAAAACACTTTTGACGTAGCTCATCAGTTGGGGCTCAAGGCAGAGCCCCCCATAGCCACCAGCAAAGGTGAGCTTTTGCTTGAAACTGTTCTTTATAGTACAAACGTGACAATGCATATCATCGCCATCCCAAGAAAAAATGAGTATCTCCAAACATTTTAAAACTTAATTTGTAGGGCAAGATCAAATGGAGCGACTCATTTTCTTGCTATGGCGACACTGAAAAGTTTTTCTCCTGGACAACTGAAAAAGTATGAAAAAGTAAAAAAAACTAGATTCCTACAGGAATAAACAATAACTCCTGCGCTGCTTTTTTTTTCTAATAGTATTTCCTTTTCTAAACAAGACAAAATTTATTCAAATTGAGTCATAAAGAGCCTCCAGGGTTCCTTGAGGTATTGAGGTTCTCAACAGAAGCAGAGAGATGAGTCATTCTCTCAGTTCCTCTGTTTCACTCTTGTTTCCTGCACAAGTATAGAACTTAACCTTCACTAAACCCTAAACAAGGAACCGCTCCAACGATTTCATCATTAAGACACAAAAACTTCCTTTGATTTACAATCAAGCTAAAAACAATAAATTATACCCCCCTCACACATGTCTCTCTCCCCCACCCCCCTCCCCCAGGTATACTCCGCTACAACAAAATACAAAATCAAAACGCCTATTTCAGAATTGAAAAAAAAAACCCAACAACATTGCATCTACATACATCTTTATTACAATAATTAAATTATGTAGTAAGCTGTAACATGATGAGAAGATTAAACCTCGAGAACTTCTGAGTAAATATCCAGAGGCCACTTAGACTTAATAAGGCGAGATCTGGTCCATACAAATTGCTACCTTAGAATTACAAAGTTGTATCTGACATTTTTGGTCGTTTTGAGTTACTAAAGCGACGAGGTCAGAAATCAAATGCTCTGACCGCTCTATCAAAATCATAAGATTATTCGGAGATGTTATTAAAATATTCAAAGGACTACGTTTGAAAAAGCCTGAAATATTGTGAAACTCAAAATTTTTGTGACAGATTTCTCAAAACTAGGTACTGAACAGACAGAGCTTTGTAATTCTGAGGTAGTGAAATGGTTGTTGATGAGCAGCACTAGAGATTCCTCAAACACAATAGTTCAGGTCAGCACCTCTGACTTGGCAAAGGAGCCGGGACTAGACTTGCTGTGCACCAACTGCCCCCTGCCACAGCAGTGACAGTCAAATATAAGTGAGGGGGTGAAGATGACGAGAAGAAATTCGTTGAAATTGGAAAGTTCACCTAAGACTTGCATGATGATTTGTCATTTAACTGAAAAATTCATTAATGGCTCCGGAATGCCTGAATACAGGGACATACCTCCCTCGATCAATGAATTAATTCATTAACAACTGCTACTGATTATGTGTTTTATTCTTAAATGACTACAGTTTGTGCAAGTCTAACCTTTGGACAGCAGCAATATTACAATATTTTTGTAACAAAATTGACAAAGAACCTTGATGTAATAAAATTTCTACAACCTGCACGACTGAAAGCAAAATTAAAAAAATGTGTTCAACTGTTCCAAAAATAAAAGGGACCAAAGAGGTCATACATGAAACCAAAATTTCTGAAATATTTCATATTCCCAAATTCCAGGAATTTAGGTGAGACCCAGAAATCTTTGCAGAAATGTTGCACTCCGGCAGTGTGCAGCAGTAGTTTACTTATTTTAGTGTCATGTGAACCCATGTGAAGTGTTCGTCTCTCTAAGAACAGGGATATAGTATAAAAGTCTACAAGGGAGGTGACGGATCTCTCTCTTCTCCCACACTTGGATAATATCGCAGAGTGAGACAAGCCTGTCTATTTCCTGTGCCGCTATTTTCGTTTCAGCTTCTCTGGGTTATTAGACGCCATGTTGGTGAAGTCGCGGCAGACATCTTGGAACGTATCATCTCCTGCAAGAAAAAAAAAATACACATAAAAAATAAATCCACAAAAAAAAACAAATGAAATTTTCATTGACGCCTTGGGTAGTCTAGGTGTATGACTAAACACATACATACATACATACATACATATTACATACATACGTAAATGCAAGAAATTTTACACGCAACAATCCATCTATCCACTCATCCCTCCATCCACCCATACTTCTGACCTAGAGTTAGTTTAATATTTTGTAAGAGTGTTATGGTACTTGGAACTCAACTGGACCATAATTATATGTGGCAATATTTAAAGGAAATTATTACAAGAGAGTAACATTTTTTTAAAAAGGAAGGAGCGAAAACAACGATAAATGATCAAAAGAACATATTATTCTCAAGGAGTCAAAGGGAATATCCCAGGAAAGAGAGAGAGAGAGAGAGAGAGAGAGAGA